AGCTAAACAGCCAGCCAAGTGCCTTTGGGGCTGGATTAAGTCAGCACCACAGAAGCCAATGATTTTCTTAGTAGCCAGAGTACTTATGTGGAGGAGAAAGGGGGTGTCCTGCCCATTAATATACTAGAAAAGGAATCGCAGGGGCTGGGGATACAGCTCAGTGGCACAGCGTCTGCCCGACAAGTGCAAGGTCCTGAGTTCAATTCCTAACACCAAAAACGAAACGAAAAAGAGGCTCAGTCGATGATCTTGCCAAAATACAGCCTGACTCGGAAGACTGTAGAAGGGCCCACAATTGAAGTAGCAAGGCAGGAAACTGCACTAGGGTACTGTCCCCTAAAGTTACACACGCACTATGAGTCTTTCCTGCAGGGTAGGAAGGTGCAACACATTTCCTTACCCATAGCAAGGGTCAGGGCCAAGGTTCTGGGGACAGAAGATAAGTCAATGAGAGAACAGCATGACTGACATAGTCAATAAAAGCTTTGTGACACGGGGGCCTTCAGGAAGGAAGGGCTCCAGCTCCCAGAGAAGCCTCTTCCTATGCTTAGGGGTGGCGAAGTATGGACAGCACGTAGAGATGAGGGTGGGCAAAGCAACGTGCGCTAAGAGACTCCAGGGGCGCCCTGGAAGGCGAGGCCCGGCTGCTCAGACGCTTCCGGGGTCCCTGGGTGTCACGCCTTCCTTCCCCCTCAGTATAGGGCGGAATCTGTTCCAAACTAGGGATTTACAACCCTACTATCAGATACAGTTTCTTCCTGGTCAGATCTTTTACAAAAGGCGAGGGAAGATGACAGGAACATTTCTGGGCTTTATGCCTGGTGTTGAGGGAGAGGGAGTCTGGTTTCTGTGACACACCGTGTGGAAGAGAAATTCTGATTTCTGTGGCCCCCTTGGGGGAGAAACGGGCTGGAGAAAAATGGGCAGAGGTGGTCAGGACAACTATGTTTCAGAGCCCGTTTCCTCTGGCTCAGCATGCTCAGCATGTAAGCTAGACTACCACGCAAGCTAGGGCAACTTTATACTCACGGCAATCCCATTTTTGTATTCCATGCATTATAATGTCATTACAGATAATCCCTTACATAATAAACTGATATGGACTGGGGAATTTAAACTGTATTTTGGGAAACTGGGTATCTACACATTTTTTTTTTTTTTAACAAAGTAATGATTGAAGTTGTTTTATTCAGCATTATTCCATACTAGGTCAGTATACTTTGATATGAAAATGTTCGGTGAATAAAAGATGATCGTTTGCAACAATGAACTACATAGAAGCTGTTTAATACTCTGAAGGCACAGTAAAGCTAAATAGTCTCCCTTGTGTCAGAGGTCAGTCCTTTTCTCTAACATTCCTTTTGGATTGAGTTTGAAAACCTTTTTATTGAATTTGAAAGCACTAATAGGACATACTCACAACTTAAGGTTTTGTCGCCACCTCGTGGATGGTAAAATAATATTTTTGTACACTGTCTAGCATGGTTCATTTTTAAAATAACAAAAATTTATTTTTAAACTGCTCACCACCACACCACAGTGCTGTAGACTCCAGAATGCGTGTGATGATCTGAAGTGAGTTCGGAAAAGACCAGCAAGCGCCTCGCAGAGTATCTGCAAAAGCAGCTGCCCCGAGGACTTCCTGGAGGGAAGCCGACTCACTTCCTGCGAGCACACTAAGGCCTGACTCCAGTCCGCCGGACACTGTTACTTTAATTCTGAGCATACTGAATCTGGGCCTCCTGCTCGCGCCACCCCCGTCCTTAGCACGGCTTGGGAGGTGACAAGAACTCAAGAAATTATGCCATTGCTCTTCCGGCTGTCTCCAGCAGAGCAACTTGTGCCTTGGTCACGTACGAGACTCAGTGTGACAGAGTTGGAACGCACCTTCCCCCTAGGCAATCTCTGAAATAGGCAGGAAGAAAATTAAGGCAAACTTAGAAAAAGGACTGCATGAAAAGCAGAACAAAACTGTGCCAGAAAGACACGGATACTTTTCTACAGTTTAACTGCTCTTGAGGAATGAAAAAGTTCAAGTTCACAAAAACTTTCACGAAGTCTTTTATTGTGTAAAGAAGCAAACATACAATCTTTTTTTGCTGTATTCGGTGCGCAGTCTCACTACGCACCTTGGAACGCCACCAGGCCTGGACTCGGCGGGCAAATCTTGACGACAGCAAAAAGGCATGCTGAGTATTTTCAGGCTATTTTCCAGTGTCCTGTGCATGTGCGTAAATAAATAATGCTGTTTCTCTGTTACCACAAAATATAGTACCACAGTTTCACATTTTTATGTAATTCAAACAAATGAGCATAGAGACAAATGAGGAAACAGACAATATTTACATTATTGTTTACCATCAATTCTTCTGTATTCCTAGAAAAATTAATAGGCCAAAGAACTGCTACAAGCCATCTCCCTTTTTTAGAAAAAAAAAATATGTTTTGAGGCAGGATCTTGCTATGTAGCTCAGACTGGGCTTGAACTATGTATCACAGGCTGGCCTCAAACTCATAGCAATCCTTCTGCCTCAGCCTCCCAAGTGCTGGGATGACAGGTGTGGCCACCACGCCCCGGCACCATCTTCCTTTTAGCAGTTAGCTGCAGCAATCCCAGTGGTCTCATCATTGTATTTTTGTCATGGGCCACCAACTGTGCCACCCTCAAATCAGTTACAATCCTTCAGCCCATTTAGTTATCTAAAGATTTGGAAAATAGGCTAAAATAAAGATTAGTTTTTGTTGTCTATTTTTGTACTTTTCTACAACTTTTTCCCCTAACCGAATCTAAGCCTGAAATATTCTTACGTTCTTTTGCGGTTTTACTGTATCTCAGCTTGTTATAAGTGCTTTAGCTGCAAAGTGTATGTAAACAACTCCTCAGAAATGAGAGGCACTTCTTTGAAATGTCACAATTCTTGTCGCCGGACTAGCAGGACTCTCTAAGGTTCTGACTTGATGAATTAAACGAGTTCATGATTCAACCTTACCACACTGCCTACTTTAGAAAGGCAGGATTCTTAATGGCAGCGTTTGGTTCCTTAAGATGTACACTCAGGGACCATAAAATTAAAATTGTGCTTAGTTCTGTAATAACCTAACTTTAAAAAAGGATTAACACTACTTGGAGCTCTGGTCATTCCATTATTAATTGGTTAAAATAAATGGCCAACCTGAGGCAAGAAGTAAACAAGGAAAGTCACATTTTCAGGCTTTTAAAATGGTCTGAATAGGCGACATCGATGACACTTCTCCAGCTTAACCACCAGCTTCAATTGTAAAAGCTAGGAACAAGTGCATAAGGCACTGTCTCTAAGTTTCTTAACCACAATGGTCCTCAGCTCAGACACACATAAGACAGGGCAAGGAAGGCGCCACCACCACCCATCCCAAGCCGCAGGGATACAGCCAGTCTGCAGATCACCTTCGGTACTACCGTCTGCAGGGCACGCAGACAAGCGCGCGTGAACCTCTGCTCGCCATGAGACTTCATTGAGTGCTCCACGAGCTCCAGCACACGATCCTCAGGACAGTGCCAGCCACAGTGGCGGCCACGTCTGTGCCTGAGGAGCAGGGTAGACAGGGCGGTGTGGGCACCAGGCCCGAGCCCCACAGAAGGGAGAGCTTAGCGCGGTACACGCTTTCCAAGTACACCGCGAATGCTGACAGTGCATTCCAGGACTGAGGAAACTGTATCTATTACAGATAAATCTTCTGCCCACACTGAAAGGGGTGAGACCTCCACAGGAGCAGGCTTTCTCCAGTAGGCTCGTGACAGAGGTCAGGAATGTTACGAGAAAATCTGTAGAGCCCTAAAAGTAAAGCCCTAAGAGAAAAAAGCTACCCTAAAAAATGTCTTATACTGTGTAACAATTAAAGTCTGATTTTTAAAAAGTAGGTTAATATTTAATCTTTACGCATTATTCCAGTTGTTTTTGTCCTGAAGCAGTACGCAGTAACAGCGTGTCAGCCGTTACGTACTTTCAAATGCAACATGGCAAGTTTTGCACGTATACCAGAGGCGGAGACATGAAAACATGGATCTCAACAACAAACCCACAGTAAGTGCTTAAAGAGATCAGCAACAGACAACAGTCATGAGAACACACTATCACAAAGTAGTCAACCAAAGGTTGGGAAGATACAAATATCCACAGAGAGCTCA